TACGCACGTGACATCGCGGTTTTAGATTGGCTAGTCCATCGGTCACGAGTTTGGTGAGAAGGGCTGGGGTCTGACGTCGCATTCGTCACATATTGGACGTCGCGATCGGGGGATCGTCGCATGTTGGTGGCAGCAATCTTGCGATCGTGACAAGCATTCCTAAGTATAACCTTTCCCAAGTTGTACAAGTCCAGATTTAACAGGTACATTGTTTAGCTTATATCACATAGATTTTGCATTTTGAAATAAGTATTTTTATTTCACTGAGTAGGTGGGCTTTAAAACCAGAAAACAACAGAAAACAACAAGTCTGACAAGTTTTTGTGGTTTTGTTATTTTGATTCTTAAACCAAACTCTACTTTGCTTTTCATTTTGAAGTAATTTTTTTTTTGAAGTGAAAGATTCCCTTTTAGAGCATATACAAATAATGCTTATGGATAAGAAAAAACAAAACAAAAACAAAGCAATGACCAGGTGAGTAAATTTTTTTGACAGAGAATGCAGTAAATGATGACAATCTCAACATCAACTGCTCCACAGTCAGCCATCTACAGTTTGGAAGATGCCCGTGCGATTCATTTACTTACCATGTCAATATTTTGCATGATGTCCTGGAAGGAAGGGTGACTACGGAACTGCTCGAACAGCTCCCGCTTGTACAGAAGGGCATACACCAGGTTAGGGTTGTGGTGGAGAGAATTGGTCAGGCAGGAGTTGATTATTTCCAACATCATACGGATGACTTCCTCTATCACGTTTAAGTCTTGTGCCTGCACAAACACAATAGAGGACCAGAGATGAATATAAAGAACAACAAAACTGACCAAGACAATGAAATTATTTAAAAACACCATAGGGGAACAGGAAACATCTACAATTTCAGCAACAATATATGTATTCAATTGTGATGGTGTTTGAGTTATTTTATATTACTTTAAAGGTGAATTTCAGGTATGGTATATTTTTACACAGTTACACTGGTCCAGCCTAGATCAACATATGCCATACCTGAAGCTGAAAATCACTGAAGTAGACACGCAGTGACTTCACATTTCCACCTTGTCCAATCATAAAATGATTTGCTTTCATTTGGAAAATGCACAGCATTCTTTGAATGACACATGTGACGAGCAGCCAATCTCCTGTGTTCAATATGCATGAGGCCGACCTCTCAGAGATCACTGGAGTAGCTGTGTCTACTACTATGATTTCCAGCTTCTAGGGAGATCAGCCAGGTATTGTGGATACACAGTTACATTGGTCCAAGCTAGTCTAATGTGTTTATGTAAAAATATACTATACCTGGAATATGTCTTCGGAGATGAGCACCACGATGACAATTTCTTTAGACATGTGCATGCCAGGGGCGGACTGACCATTTGGGAACTCGGGCACTGCCAGAGGTCCCGGGGTCAGTAGGGGGCACCATGAGATGCCCCTGGTACCTTTCATAGGCTTTTTTGGGTGTGGTTTGAGTGTGGGTGAGGACACAGGGGCCCCATGATCCCCTATTGCCCGGGGGCCCCATGAGTTGTCAGTCCGCCCCTGCTACATGCATAATGTATTTTTTAACTTTAATTGGAGAAAAAAAAAATTATTGTACCTCTTTGCACTGCTTCCACTGAATACCACTGCCACACCCCCCCCCCCCCATGTCCACATTGCATCTACGACTGACACCAATACTGGTGTTCTACTCTGTTCCTCAAAACACAACTTGATGAGCTGAAGCTGTGTGTGTATCATCGCAGGAAAGGAAGTGATGGGAAATCTCTACAGCAGGGACAAAGATAAAAAAAAAATGCAATTTTAAAGTAGAGTAGGGAAAGTTTGGAGCTTCTGGAAATAATTTTATTGCAGTCCATGTCATTTCATGCCAATGATAGGAAGAGACATTTTTTTCTAATGGGGTCAGAGACCGTAATAAAAACCAGAAAGAAACATAAAACTATGTGCTGCTAAAATGCTTTAAGTTTTCGATAGAGCAGTAAAGGTATAGAAGCACTGTCAGGGTTTTAATGCAGTGCCATTACTGGGTAGTATCACTCTCTCTCATTCTCTTGGTGACCATTGCCACCAAGACAGAAACTGACAACCTATCCATACTTTACAGCTATTACCAGAACAAGAAGTGAGGGTAAATAATTCAATGGGGATCACTGATTAGGAGGAATCCCCCAAACTTTGGAAAAGATTTCCTCTCTATTTCTATTGCATCTCAGGGAGAGGAAATGAAGGGAAATCTCAAAACAAGATCGCGAGAACAAAAACAAATTGACCCTTCCCCGCTCTCTCCAAAAATAAATGAGAAAGTTTGGGCATCAGATACACCTAAAATCAAGGATGTCTTATAAATGTTCCAGTCTCACGGTCTTTCTGCTGTAAATGCTGATACTTGCAGCTTCTCCAGAGACAGAAGGCCCTGGCTTAGTCCTGATGTAAAGTGATGAAAGGTAATGCTTGTAGAGTACGTGTTGAGACGTTGCAGTCGGTGGCGGGGCACAGTACAGAGACGCAGGAAACAAGCAAGCCAATGACAATGAGATAAAGGTAAATGCTCCCAAAGAATAATAGGCTCAGCTAAGAGAGAGCCAAGTGCAACACGACTCTGAAAACAAACAGCAATCAGGGTTTCTGTGCGTGGCACCAGCTAACCTCACTGCTGGTCTGGCAGGATGGTCAAAGCTGCTCTAAATGAAAGGGTGTCTGTGCTGGAATTCCTGCAATTCTTATGGTTTTACTGTTTGCTTAAGTCTGGCTTGTGTACATTATAGCAGGAACCTGCAGATGGAGATTCTCAGCAGATTTACTACGCCTGATGGCCTTTAACGGAAGTAAGTTCCCCTAAATGTCACGTCCTGATATTCATGGGTTTCACCAACCAGTGAATGTGTTCGTTTACAAATGTTTTGGCAACCATTAGTAGACGTACAGATGGGAAAGGAGTAGTCATGTACAGTACCAGTACGGTGTCCATTTTAGAACATTCTTCAGTTTACATGATGCTCGTTCTTCAATCTACAGTCAGGAATTCATCAAACTATGGTTGATCTCATCAATAATCCATCAAACCAAAAAATCACATTTGTCAGGAATCAGAGTTGGGAGTAGGAAGTTGGGCAGGAGTCAGAGTTGGGAGTAGGAAGTCGGGTGTAGGAAGTCGGGCAGGAGTCAGGAGCGGGCAGGAGAAGGAAGTCGGGCAGGAGTCAGAGCGGGGAGTAGGAAGTCGGGCAGGAGTCAAAGTTGGGAGTAGGAAGTCGGCCAGGAGTCAAAGTTGGGAGTAGGAAGTCGGCCAGGAGTCAGAGCGGGGAGTAGGAAGTCGGGCAGGAGTCAGAGCGGGGAGTAGGAAGTCGGGCAGGAGTCAGAGCGGGGAGTAGGACGTCGGGCAAGAGTCAGAGCGGGGAGTAGGAAGTCGGGCAGGAGTCAGAGCGGGGAGTAGGAAGTCGGGCAGGAGTCAGAGTTAGGAGTAGGAAGTCAGGCAGGAGTCAGAGTGGGGAGTGGGGAGTAAGGGGCAGGAGTCAGTCACTAACCACTTTTGTTACATTGCCCCCCCCCCCCCCCTTTGACCAACCACCCCTCTCCTTTGTTTCATTTTAATGGCCCCTTCAAATGTCTCATTATATCAAACCTCTCTTTTTATTTTAAATATACAACTTAATTTAGCCCTCTCTCTCCCGGAGCCATGTTTTTCTGTTTTTGTTGAACACCTGATCAAATGCACATTTTGTGCCTCCAGGTTACTTAAGATACTAAACCCTCAGTTCTTTAGGCACTATCAGCGGCCGATTTAATCACTCATCAAGTATGCAGCATCCTTATCTTTTTATCCTTGCCTATGTTCTACTTTAAGTTAGTGCCATGGTCAATGCCCCAGGATTCAGGATGGCTCCTTGCTCTTGAAACATCCTATGGAGCCACCCTTGCATACAGGGACTACAGCGTGGGCATCAACAGAAACACAATGCTTTTAGCGTAGGATGGAAAGGCATTCTCCTGATTCTCCCTCCTCCCCCCTCTCATCTCCAAGTTAACAGACTGGCTGGAGATTTCACTGCCCACTGGTAACTCTTTCCTGTGAAGACCAGATGTTCAAGGAAGCAGCACTGAGAGTGCAGGAGCCAGCAGCGTTGAAAATTGTAATTTGCAGGTGCAGGGGTAAGAATTTTGAAAAACAGTTTATTGTATAAATGTTTATTATATTGTGCTCTATGTGTTAAGCCAAAAAAATAAAAAAATAAAAACCAGTTAAGGGTATAATACAATTTTAAACCCCCAAACATAGATTTTCTGAAAGCAGAGACCTTGTAGAATAAAAGAGTGGAAGTTGTATATGTGTGATACTGTTAACCAAGTCTACATTCTCAGTAAAAAAATACATTCAAATTAATTTTAGTGCACACAAATACAATATAATACCCAACTTTGTTTGTAAAAGATAAGGTAGTAAACTAAAGTTTGAAGCTGGAAGTCTGTTTACATTCCAGAGTTGCCACGGATGAAACGGTTGCATTGGAGGCATAAAGTAAAGATTAACGTGTTACTAAACCCACAGTGAAATCAGTTCATAATATGCAGTAAAGCATGCTTGTTATACTCACTGTGGAACCTAAGGAGTTAATCCTTTGCATTATGTAAAAAGGCTGTTTGATCCAGCCTTCTCTGATCCCCCCCTTATTCCACAGTCCACAATCCATTTGCTGATAGTAGAGAGCCCTATGGGACATTCTGCACATGCTCATTGTGGTGTGGATTGCTACAGGTTTTTTTTTTTTTTTTTTTTTCGGAAATGGTGCATGTGAATGGCACAGGGCCAATTAGCGCTGTCTGGACAGAGGGTCAGGGGTCATGCAGCCTCACAGAACAGTCAGATGAGAATGAAAACTCCTCCTGCAAGATTAACTAGTGCTTGGCTGGACACTGATAGAATTCACAAGACGTCTATATACTGCTGGTGAGAAAAGGTATTTAGCAGTTTATATTTACTTAAATTATTACATTTCCACATTCTGTGTACTGTGGGAGACCAAATATAGTGAATGCAGGGTCCTGGGAGACCAAATATAGTGAATGCAGGGTCCGGGGAGACCAGATATAGTGAATGAAGGGTCCGGGGACACCAGATATAGTGAATGCAGGGTCTGGGGAGACCAGATATAGTGAATGCAGAATCCAGGAAGAGCGGATATAGTGTATGCAGGGTCCAGGGAGAGCGGATATAGTGAATGCAGGGTCTGGGGAGACCAGATATAGTGAATGCAGGGTCTGGGGAGACCAGATCTAGTGAATGCAGGGTCTTGGGAGACCAGATCTAGTGAATGCAGGGTCTGGGGAGACCAGATCTAGTGAATGCAGGGTCTGGGGAGACCAGATATAGTGAATGCAGGGTCTGGGGAGACCAGATATAGTGAATGCAGGGTCTGGGGAGACCGGATATAGGGAATGCAGAATCCAGGAAGAGCGGATATAGTGAATGCAGGGTCCAGGGAGAGCGGATATAGCGAATGCAGGGTCTGGGGAGACCAGATATAGTGAATGCAGGGTCTGGGGAGACCAGATCTAGTGAATGCAGGGTCTTGGGAGACCAGATATAGTGAATGCAGGGTCTGGGGAGACCAGATCTAGTGAATGCAGGGTCTTGGGAGACCAGATCTAGTGAATGCAGGGTCTGGGGAGACCAGATCTAGTGAATGCAGGGTCTGGGGAGACCAGATCTAGTGAATGCAGGGTCCGGGGAGACCGGATATAGGGAATGCAGGATCCTGGGAGACCAGATATAGTGAATGCAGGGTCCTGGGTTTACTTATAATAAAGTTTCTAATGCATGCCATTTAGTTCATCAAAAATGTCCTATTTTTGGTGAAGATCACTGGACAATGTTTATATTCAGGTTTTATCAAAATGGAGTACAAAACACATGGATTAGAGTCTTTTTGGCTAAATTTAAATGGCATGCCTTGGAAACTTTATAAAATGTGTTTGCGTATCTAAAAATAAACTATTTTTACATTTAATAGGAATGTAATGGCTTTTTTCTATGAATTATTCAACTGTGGAGGTTTGATTTCCTCTTCTGAGACAATTTAAGTGGCCAAAAGAGTGGGGGATATGTGGAAAAAGCAGAGGGAAGGTGGAGTAACAAAAATATCTATTGATGCCACCTATTTACCTTGACATTCAAAAAGTTTGACTGTGGCTGGCTAGATTACTGGTGGGATCAGCCATAGTTTGCTGGTTTCCTGACTGATGACTGGACAAACAGCACTGCATATGCCATTGTGTACAGGCAATTCACAAGCCAGAGCCTGTTGGAGCTTCCCAGTGCCACCTCCTAGCAGACTGAATTAGAACAGAGAATCCTCATATTAGTGGGACCAGTAGATTTACTCTTATTGGCTCACAGTACAGAACTTCCCACTCGTAGTCTAACATCTGCTGTGGAGAGGATTTTGGGAAGATGATATAAAGAGTTATTTCAATCAGCTATGTGGCCCTTTGCTGGCCTTTATCTGGCCCTTGGGGCACTATTCCTCCCACTGATATAACACACTATTCTGCTGACTGATACCAACAATGGAGAGTCCTTTCTCCTACCAGCACCAATAATGGGGTAGTATTCCTCCTAATGATGGGGCACTATTTTTCCCCCAATAAAGAGGGAAGAAGGTAAGGGGTAAAACTCCAGTTTATTTTTTGCTGTGTTCTAGTAAAAGGATATCTATTCACTGTCCTGGAGACTCTGCATGAAATGAAAAGAAATCTCTACAAAGTGGGGAGACTGGTAGACAATTGTCACCAAAACAGGTGTCATTATTGAAAGATTTCTCCTCACCTCGAATTCTGGTAACAGATTTTCCACTACCCATCTGGTGACAATAATTATCAGAACAAATCGAGAGGGTGAATCTCCCCCAGTGGGAACACAACCAGCAATAAGTACCATAGAAATAGGTCTAATCCCTCACTATCCAACACTAAAAGATGATGCTGGACATTTTCAGCCAGAAAGAAGATGGGCTCTATCTGACCCGCTGCAGCTTCTAATCAGGGGCGGACTGACCATTTGGAAACTCGGGCACTGCCCGAGGGCCCGTGGTCAGTAGGGGGCCCCATGAGATGCCCCTGGTACCTTTTTCATAGGCTTTTTTGAGTTTGGGCAAGGACACAGGGGCCCCATGATCCCCTATTGCCCGGGGGCCCCATGAGTTGTCAGTCCGCCCCTGCTTCTAATGCACACTGTGAGACGCTCACAAAGGGGAATTTAATATAGCCCTAACTTTTCTGGTGGTAGTTCCCTTTAGAATTACCTGTGCCTAATTTAGGCAAGCATTTGCGCCAGTGTTGGTAACATTGCCGACACATGCGGCAAATTTAGGTAGTTCTAACTATGACCATTTTAGGAATCTATCAATATGGCAGTGACAAATACTTAAAGAATTACTGCCAGTTCTGAGACTAGGAAACGGATGGTATTGAAGACCAACTCTAAGCTGGTGTACGCCAATACTCAGAAAGGGCCCTGTCTGTGCTGCGAAGCTGTCATGTATGTGACAGCTTCCTGCACACTGTAGTATCCCAGCCCCATTCAGCTATCAGCCAGGTGATGAATATGCTACATTTGGGAAATGAGTTGAGAGACTAGCTCCCTGTCAGGTCCTCTTTAGTTTTGATTGACAACATATAGCAGTGGGCGGTTTCAAAAGCAGTTATTGGACTGAATAATAACTATGGATCCACGCACTGTCAAAAGTAAAGTGGACTTGCTAGTGAACTAGTCTTTCAGTTCCCCATCAGGTTCTGCCCATCCCAGTACAAAACTCCTGTCAGTGTGACGGGCACAGTGGCTGAGGAGGGAGGGCAGTGCACTGAGCAAGGAGTATCCGGTGTGGAAAACTTCCTCATTGCAAACACATACAGATTTATGTACCGGTCTCTACCATGAATTGGGCACAAGCACCAACACTTCTGGTTCTGTACCCCAACAGAATTATAAAGGGTTATCAAAAACACTCTTCATGAATTCCCCCGATAGTGTGCAGTGAATTGAGAGTAAGCAGTTTCAATACAAGAGAGGAGCCTGTACAAATGTGCAAGGTTGGAGGTCATCTTTAAAATAAATATAAATCCTAACTGAATGTACTTAAGTTTGCTCTGTGCACTGTGTATCATAAAAATCCCTTTCTCCCCCACTGTTTTGTATCTCCTCCAACCTTTCAGACTCTGTCTACTTGCACTAAGCCTCCCAAATGCAGATCATTGTGCTGCACTGGCTTCCTGATGATGGCAATGGTGGACCATGTGTTGGTCTCCACTTGGGTTGCAATTCAAATGGTAGGCAGTTGTCACCCTATATCAGGAAGTGCCTGATCAAGGACATTCATGGCAGGGTCACCCAAGGGTTTTCAATGAAATCCACAGATCTTTGCTAAAGTTACAATTTTAGTAATCGATGTTACATTTAAAGTGATAACCACAGAAATCAATGTGACCCTTACGGGGTCATTTTTGGTTAGCTTGATGCTCTGTATTTTGATAAAGTGGTCCTAATGCATTCAATTACTTTGTTGCCAATTCCAAGAAATCAGTCCCATAGCAGCCAAGGGGTAGGTGGCACTTGCATAAACCTTCCCTGTACGTAGTGTCTGACATTACAAGAATTATTATTATTATTCAGGATTTATATAGCGCCAACAGTGTGCGCAGCGCTGTACAAAATGAAGGTAGACATTACAGTTACAATACAATTTGGTACAAGAGGAAACAGAGGGCCCGGCTCGTTATCACGTACAATCTAAGCGATCCTTAACAGTGGTCATCATGGACGAATGCTCAGCACAAGTGTGTACGTACCATAAAAATCAGATCACACGTGAGATACAAGGTTTTTTGGGGGTTTTTTTCTGAGCAACTTTCTAAATGTCAGTGAGAAAGAATTGCCTGAAGGACTCCTGGAAGCTTCAATTACATATGAATAGAGCTAGCTGATCTCAGCCTCTTATTATATACAATGCGTTCAGTTGTGGGGTTAAACCTCCTCGCAGGGCACAGCTAATATTGGCGGACTATATGGGAGGTCCACCCACCAGGATGAATAGCATAGTTCTCCATCGGAAACCCGACACTAACCCCTCTGTGCTGGAGACTAAATGAATACTTTAGGTGACTGACAGTTGAAGAATGCTGCAATTACACAATGGCATGCGAGTTTAAACATCAGGGATGGGCACTGCACGGCACACAGAAGGGAGAAGGGCCTACAGGTACACATACTGCAACATTCTCAGCCACGCTCTAAACATTTGCGCACGCAAAAGGGTTTTCAGCTGCCTCCTGAGAGTCTGAAAACCCCCTGTGAGTAATCTGCAAGCCAGTCTACACTAAACTTGTTCATGTTCCAGCGTCAAGATAATCCCTGATGCCCAACCTGCTGCCCGAGGCCTGTATGTGTCTCTCTGGTACTTATGTGGCCCTTGAGCCCCAGCAGTCTGTGTTTTCCCTATCTAGGCGCTTACTCAGAGCCAGGGAAGCAAAATTATTCATTAGATTTCCTTCTATTTAAATGGTTTGGTTTATTTCTTACGGTCTTACTTTTTCTGTGCTAATACATTTTTATTTATGGCCTGATATTTTATTCAGAATCTTGCTGGCAGGAGTATCATTATATCATTAGGAGTACTGGCAATGATCTCTAGCAGTTACTTCCCCAATTTGTGACCATCACTGGCAGCATGTCCTCCAACCATTTCCTGTAGCAAGTCTGCAGTATCTTGTCATTTCGTGTGATGCACTAGCATTATCTGACCATCTCCTGTAGAAGTCTACGGTCTCTGGTCATTTCTCAAGGTACGTGGCAGTCTCGGACCATCTCCTGTGGCATCCCTGCAGTCTCGGACCATTTCCTGTGGCATCCCTGCAGTCTCGGACCATCTCCTGTGGCATCCCTGCAGTCTCGGACCATCTCCTGTGGCATCCCTGCAGTCTCGGACCATCTCCTGTGGCATCCCTGCAGTCTCTGACCATCTCCTGTGGCATCCCTGCAGTCTCTGACCATCTCCTGTGGCATCCCTGCAGTCTCTGACCATCTCCTGTGGCATCCCTGCAGTCTCTGACCATCTCCTGTGGCATCCCTGCAGTCTCTGACCTTTTCCTGTGGCATCCCTGCAGTCTCTGACCATCTCCTGTGGCATCCCTACAGTCTCTGACCATCTCCTGTGGTATCCCTGCAGTCTCTGACCATCTTCTGTGGTATCCCTGCAGTCTCTGACCATCTCCTGTGGCACGCCTGCAGTTTCTGACCATCTCCTGTGGCACGCCTGCAGTCTCTGACCATCTCCTGTGGCATGCCTGAAGTCACTATCTCCTATAGCATGCCCCCAGGCTACTTCTGGTGGAACACTGCCAGTGTCTAACCATCTATTTTACCATCTCGATAGTTTAGATTTTATACAGCACACTTTATGTTACATGGGGTCCTTTGATGTCAGGGTCCACTCTTGGGCCTTTTATCAAGTAAGAGGGCTTTCGCATAGATAAATCTGTATATAGATATACAGTGGATAAAAAAAAATCTACACATCCGTTAAAATGTCAGGTTTTTGTGATGTAAAAAAAATGAGACAAAGATAAATCATTTCAGAACTTTTTCTACCTATAAACTGTACAACTCAAATGAAAAACAAACTGAAATATTTTAGGGGAGGGAAGTAAACATAAAAAAACTAAAATAACGTGGTTGAATAAGTGTGCACACCCTTTTATAACTGGGGATGTAGCTGTGTACAGAATTAAGCAATCAC